TTGGGTCTAACCAGCACGCCACACGGGCACGCCGAATTACTGTGTGTGATCCGCCCGACCGTGACAACGCTACTACACTATATGTGGAGAACATGTGAATATCACACAGAAAAGCCCCAGTCAGATGCGGATTCAAACCCAGGACCTTCTTGAAATAAGGCAACTGCACTAACCACCACACCACCATGCACATGAACTCTATGCTATGGGTTTGCTGTTACAGAAGTAGACATCATATGCTAAGAGTCATAATCAACAGCCTCCTATTAGTATATATATTCTTTTGTTAATAAACAGCCTTTTGTGTGACTGTGTTTTATATGGAGAGAATAGCAACGATCACATCCACGATCACAACTCTACTCAGGTTCCTGTTACTAGATCTCAAAGATTCATGTTTGTTTGAATAAAAAAAAAACACTTCATATTAATTTTCCCATTTTTGTAGTCTAAGTGCCAGTTGGTGCTGGTAAACTATATAATCCTTTTCTGGTTTGTGTACATTTTGTGGGGGGCAGGATATATTGAAAAATAACTAATGTCACTAAGATCTCTGGACAAGTACCAAGGGAAGGTTTGCAGTATATGCTGACTCATGAGTGCCCATATGCACTTGAAGACTTGAGAGTAGGACAGGCCCCATACATTTGGCAGGAATGAACCTCAGATTCTGTGAGTTTGCAGATTGGGATTGCGCCACTGAAGAGCAGGTGCATTCATTGAAATTTGCTGTGACGAGTTCTAATACTGCGCCAAAAAAAAATAATGCCATGGCACCTGCGTCTCATGATTATACACATGGTTTCCTTTGGCACAGATGTCTTGATGCACCAGCATCTACAATATTAAGTCCTTGAGAGATAACTGTCGCCCTAAGATCTGAGATGGCAGGAACTAGCCCAGGTTATTGGCTGGTTGGAAGGTTGGTGGTTTAATTCCTGGCTGTTGCTCCAGGATGCATGCCAAAGCATCCTTTGGCAAGATACTAAACCATCGATTGTAACTGTGTGTGAATGTTAAATATAAAACACTTAGGCATAGAAAAAAGTGCTTTTGTGAATGAGGCATGTTGTTTAAAGAGTGCTTCAGTGGAGTAGAAAAGCCCTACACAGGAACCAATTAATTTACCAAGACAACCTGCCATTTGGTCTTGTTGGACCTTTGCTCCCTTTAGCATGTCTATACCAATTCTAAGAAAAGGATGAATCAAGGTCATTTCTGAGAACTGCAGTCCATGTTAGTGTCCATCCAAATATAAAGATATATCAAGAAATATCTTTATGCACTTCTCAAATGTCCATTTAAATTGTCGAGGATTTTGGCAATATGAATGTGAATAACTGGACAACTTACAAAGACATACTTTAAAAAAAACAAACATCAGGGAGGTCTGTGCTGAATGATCCATTTACACCACCATGCCTGGCCTGCACAAACCACTCAGCGTGAAGCACTGCACAAGTTGGGTTTTCCCCATTCATGAAGCTAACACTGACTCATTTCTCCAAGTGCTGCTGGTCATTCAGCCACCTGCGGGAGCATTTTACAACTATCATGTTGCCTCCCCGGTTCCCAAAAATAACCACGGGTCACCCCTCTCCTCCCTCCCTCCACATCCATCCTTCCTCTTCAACCCCGCCACATGGTTACAGTTAAGTACATAAATCAGGCGCCACCGCTGGTGTGAGAGCTGTAGAGGCAGACAGAAGGCATACACACACATACTCACACACACATGCACATCCCACTGCCGCGGCTCGTAGCTGCTACTGCAGCCGGTGCAGAGCAGGAGACTCGCAGCATTCTCTCCATCACACGCAGGCGGAATGGCTTGAGATCAGACATCGTGGACTCGTCTCGTTCGGCTCACGCACTATGATTTTGTGACTGTCTGAGTATGCGTGCGTGTATGTGCGTGCGCGCGCGCGCGCGCGTTAGCCCGCCTTGCCGCGAATTGCTGCAGTGCTGTTTTCCAGGTGTGCGAGTGTGTGTGAGAGTGTGTAAGCGTGTGTGCATGTAAGAGTGTGTGCATGGTGTTGTAGCCTGGTGTAATTCTCTTACGAATTGTACTAAGCCGGGGAACGGAGTCTGATGTCACATGTGCTTCATCGGAGGAGACGGGGCATCTGCAAGCTGGATTTTGTGGAGGATGCTGCGGCAAGTGATACACAGAGGGCTCAAGGCTTCGTTCTACTGGCTGGGCTTATTCGTTAGCAGACATCCCGTTTTCTTCCTCACCGTCCCTGCGGTGCTCACCATCATTTTCGGATCTACAGTGCTGAGCCGATTCAAGCCGGAGACGGACCTGGAGGTACTGGTCGCCCCGACTCACAGCCTCGCCAAGATCGAGCGGAGTCTCGCTAACAGCTTGTTTCAAATCGACCAGTCAAAGCACAAGCTGTACTCGGATTTGCACACCCCGGGCAGATATGGCAGGCTGATCCTGCTCGCCAAGTCCGGGGGGAACATCCTGGAGCTGGCCGATCAGGTCCTGCAGGTCCACAAGCAGGTGTTGGATCTGCGCGTCAATTACAAGGGATTCAATTTCACGTTCGCGCACCTCTGCGTCTTGAGCCACAGGGACAAGCGCTGCCTACTGGATGATATCATCACCATCTTCGAAGACATCAGGCAGGCTGTGCTTTCCAACAGCACTTTCCACAAGGTGCCCATTAGTTATCCGAACACAACATTAAAGGTGAGGGTTTGTTTTTCTCTCTTTCTCCCTCTCAGCCAGGCCCTTCTCGTGCGCATACACGCTCCCCAAACCCATCTCCATCAGAGCAGCAGCCCCAGCAGTCAGCATGTGAAGCTCTGAGGCTGGCCCTCGGAGCTTGCTATAATTTCTGAATGAACAGAAAACACTTGTATACCAGACTGTAATTTGGGGCTGCACAGTGCCTCATATATCAGCCAGCGAAGGGGAAGCCTCTCCATAACACACACACAGCCGGCTTTTCAGTTTTCACCCTCCCTTTTTGGTGCAGGTGAATTGATTGGCGCATGCTGCTTGCCCTGATCTGCTCCTCCACCTTCACTCACTCACATCACAAACGCACACACACACACACACACACACACACACACACACACACACACACACACACACACACACACA